TGAGAGCACGGGTTGTGGTGGGGGCTGCCGGGCCAGCCCTCTGTTGCCAGGCAGGTTAATGGTTATTGCCTGGCACAACGATTGGCTGACCGGGTTACTAGGGCAAATTGCATGTAGCAAATTGGGTGGGTGGGACCATAGGCTTTAAATTTTGGGGCACACTGGCTTTCTCTTCTCTTTCGCAGAGTGCATCGGATCACCTGCCCGCCCTGTGTTCCGGTTGACCTTGCTATGCCTGTCATGGGGTCGTCTGCCGTTGGGGCAGGGGCCTTGTAGGAATTTTGTCCATTTGGCTGATTGGCTGGTGCCATTTGGTTTTTGCCTACTACTTAGCAATTTGTCACAACTTGTAAGGTTGCGGTTAGGCATTGGTTATAAAAATTGGTGGTGGGGGGGTCAGGATAGGCTGTGCCTGCCCCTCCAATGGTGCTGGAAGGGAATTCCGTTAAAGGAATCCTGGGGCTTGCCACGATTTCATCCAATCCCTGAAATGGGACCAGGGCCAGCAAGCCTTGGGGAGCTGGTTGGGTGAGCGGTGAGGGACTGTCGCTCAGCTCAACTGATCCCCAACATTGTTTTCCCTTCACTGGCTTCCGATGGAGTTCGGAAAGTCAGTTCTGTCCCAGGCGGGGGGACAGATAGTCATAACCAATGTCTCAGCAACCACTCACAGATTTTGTATTTTAATAAAGTTGTGGCCAAAATAGTGCCAAAAACCTTAAACTAAAATTACGTGTGATTTGTGAATTATTTGAGGGGTGGCTTGGGGACCTCCACACACAAATGCCCGAAGTGGGGTGCCTGCTGTGTGCCCACACAATTCAGAATTCACAAGCTGCCCACACAATTCAGAATCCTAGTTGCGCAGGCTTTTAATTTGCACAGGGAGCCTCCACCCATATAGCAGGCACACCCAATATGTGGGTGGCTGGGAAGGGGGCTGGCAGGGGAGATGGTTTCAGGATCAGAATCACATGAGGGGAGAACAACAGGAGGCACCTATGTAAGGTCAGGCATCCCGAAACTCAGGCCTCCAGATGTTTTGGGACTACAACTCCCATCATTCCTAGCTAACAGGACCAGTGGTCAGGGATGATGGAGTTGTAGTCCCAAAACATCCGGAGGGCCGAGTTTGGGGATGCCTGCTCTAGGTTCTACAAACCAATATTAGTTCATGTTGTCATGAGCGTCTCAACCCCCATCGTTCTACCCGGACACTGAGGTCCAGCGCCAAGGGCCTTCTGGAGGTTCCCTCACTGCAAGAAGCCAAGTTACAGGGAACCAGGCAGAGGGCCTTCTCGGTAGTGGCACCCTCCCTATGGAACGCCCTCCCATCAGATGTCAAAGAGAACAACAACTACCAGACTTTTAGAAGACATCTGAAGGCAGCCCTGTTTAGGGAAGCTTTCAATGTTTGATGTATTATGGTATTTTAATATTTTGTTGGAAGCCACCCAGAGTGGCTGGGGAAGCCCAGCCAGATGGGCGGGGTATAAATAAATTATTATTATTATTATTATTATTATTATTATTATTATTATCATCATCATCATCATTCTGCAGGCCTATTCTCCTAACTCAAAATCCACACCCACTTCCAGAATTCCATACCCTCCAAGCGTCCCAGAATTATAAAAGTCATCCCAGCTTCAGATTTGATTCCAGAATGTCCCTATTTCCCCCTCCAGTGCCGTTGCCAAGCTTGGGGAAGAAGATGAGCCAGCACTTGTCCTGAGCGGCAGTAGCAGCGGCAGCATCCCTGGACCTCTCCATAGCCACCACGGCCATTCTCCTCCCTTGGGCAGATCTGAGTGGCTGCTGGAGGGCAGGTGAAGAGGAGGAGAGGCTGCCGCCGCCACAATCGGCCCTGGCATGATACGCTGCCGGCTCTGAGGTGCAGGCCGAGGGCAGGGGTACCCTGGGCAGAAAGAAAGGAGGAGCTGTGCGGAACAAAATGAGTCTTGCTTTCGTTTTTTGAAAAATGCTTTACAGCAGACGCTCGGGTCGCGAATGTGATCCGTGTGGGATGAACATTCGAAACCCGCGTCTGTGCATGCGTGGGTTGCGATTCAGCGTTTCTGCACATGCACAAAGTGTGATTTAGCGCTTCTGCGCATGCGCGACCGCCGAAACCCGGAAATAACCCGTTCCGGTACTTCCAGGTTTCGCCGGTCCGCAACCCCAAAAAATGCAACCTGAAGCAGCTGTAACCTGAGGTATGACTGTATGCATCGCCGTCTAATCTTGCCCCTTTCTAAAATTTGTTTGCTGGTGAATGCTTTTCTTTTTTGTAAATCTACCAAAGAATATAACCAAACAAAACTGGGATTAATGAGTTTTTCAGGATGGTGGAGGGGGGGGTGCCATATCCCGTTGGTGGAATCCCCCTTCTTCCAATAGGAAATGCTGTGCTGGGGGAGGGGGCAAAAATGGGGGATTGAGGAGGGTCAGTTGCAGGAGAGTGAGAAATGTCCCTATTTTCATCTGAGGAATGTTGGAGGGTATGGTATTCTATGCTCAATGATTCCCAGGTAACTGTTTAATCAAACATCTCCCTAGCACAGTGCCCCACACCCTCCCAAATAGAGAGAGAGAGAAGAAAGGCTGATTTTAAAATTTTCTATCATACCCATTTCTCTGAAGAGACTCAAAACGAAATCCAGTAGATATTCAAATTAACAAATTGACAATATCCATTTAAGAAAATTCAGCAGCGCAAAACTAACAAAGGACTGAGACAGCAAAATCTTAAAACTAACTAAAGATGTAAATAAAACAACAACTACCCGGTCTTTATCAGCATAGCAATAGGCCGTGGTCTGCAAGGCAATCCAGAGGATTTAGCACAAGGCCCCAGACGACGATCAGAGCATGAGTATGTATTTCAAAATGCCTATTTTTCTGAGCAAAAAAGTTCCGTCTGTATCCCACCGATCCTCCAAAGGGTTGTTTCGTTTTATTCTCAAACCCGTGACACCGTTTAAGAGCAAGTGACTTTCCCAAGTTAGCTTCGTAGCTGAGCAAAAAAAGTTGAAGTCTAAAGTTGAAGTCTAATGCTCTTCTCCACGGCAAGCTATTATTTGCAACTCAATACACACTGAAAGAGTGTCACGACAGCTGCCCTCTGAGACTGCATAAATACAACGAAGCAAAAGTGAATATTATAATGCATTTGCCTCTTACTGTATCGCTTTGGTCCATCTTCCAAACAAAATGAAAGAGTTAAGGTTGCATCATCTTCAAAAAACTCCGTTGCAAAGGCATCCCACCAGAGGTTGTCACTGTCCTATGAGGGAAGAAATCATTCTTTTAACAGAAAGAAATCAGTTGTAATCTGCCTTCTTTTTTCCCCTTCAAGTGCACTTTCTTTTTAAAATATATTCTCAGCCAAGAAAAATTATGAAAAACTATTGTCAGTAATTCAGTATGGCTGGGTATTGAAAAGAAGATTCTCATTTGCAAACGTATAGAAATAAGCACCTTCCGTAAAACAGCGATTCAGCATTAAATCAAAACACAATTTAAGACACAAACTCAACCAATTTTTGGCATCCCTCAACTTCAAGGTTTCGCTTAATTTTTGGCTAAGCCTGGTCACATAGTGTTTTGCCCAGGATTGTAAACACTGTATGACAAGTGGTCAGCCTTGGCTGCCATTTCCACAAAAATTACCTCACATCATCAATTCTACCATATCACTTTGTCCCCACAATCTGTTCCTAAGGTTGCTAAGTCATTTTTTTTATTTTAAAAAAACTTTTAAAATAAATAGTATATTTATTCTTATATAATATTTATTTTATATATATAAATAATCTGCCACCGAATAATGTAAAATCACACTAGAATAAGCACAGCACTAACACTGTAATAGCACTTTAAATGGTGTTATCAGCATCGTAAGTACTATTATTTCTTTTTATTTATTAAATTTCTATAGTGCCCTTCATACGAGGGTCACAGGGCGATTATACAATATAAAAACACAAAAATATATAACATAGTAACAAACAAACAAAATAACCCCCCACAGTTATTATTTATCACTACTAGTAAAGAACTATTAATAATAATAATAATTATTTATTGCTACCACTACCAACCACATATTTCTGCAATTATTGCATCCAAGACCTGACCACCCCACCGCCCCTTAAAAACAATGAAAATTACAATGATAATCTCAAGATTAGAATCCCAAATTCAGTGATTTTCCCTACTAATTGGCCCCCTTGAGAAAAGAATATTAATGACACACACACCCTTCAGAAAAAAATTATTTCCAGACAATAATTTCCCTTTGTGAATTTCCCTTCCATCTTAGAAAACAGCCACAGTGAAATAATTCCTGATCAGCTTAGGGCTGTGATACGTCCTGATCTTCCCGGACATTACCGGGATTTCAATTGACGTCCGAGGGGAAAGGCAGAGTTTTGTTTTAAAAAAAGAAAACCAAACAAAAAACTCAACAATTTCGTGGTGTCCTGGTTTTCACTTTTCGAAATATGGCAACCCTAGATCAGCTCCGAAGCATAAATTTTCTAAACCTGGACAGTGCATTGTCAATCGAACTTTTGAGATACCAAAACTCTCTCTCAACACAAAGTATATGGGTGATATCCAGCACTCCCCCCCTAAAAAAATGTTTAGGGGTACTCTCATTTTCCTACTCATATTAAAATACTGCCCCTCAATGAGGCCAAACTTCGATTCATAAAATATTTAGGGGTATGCGTCCCCCCACATCCCACCCCCAGAAAAAAAGCACTGGTGATATCCAACATTGCCTGACAGGACTAACCGCCCACCCCACCAAATCTGCTTCAGACGATGTTGTTGTTGTTAATATTTATTTACACCCCTTTTTCCGTGATGGGACCCAAGGTGGCTTACACATAAAAGTGAAAACATAAAAATAATTTTATTTTTTAATATAATTTTTATTGGGTTTTTCATCTTTAACAAGATTACATCTTATAGTATAATCACAAAATAAATTCCCAGCCGCCGCCCCCACCCCCAGCGACTTCCCCCAACTTCCCTTTCTGGTTTGTAACATATTAACTTGTCCTGCTTGTTATCTGTCCCTAAGTATAATAATCTTTACATTAACCATTGTTACATTCTTATCCTTTTAACCTCATCTTTATATTTTCGACAATTGTTTTGCTGGTTGTAAATGTTTTTAGTCAAACCCTGCTACTGAGTCCTTTTCCTTACATTGTTTCTGTAAATACAACATAAAAATTTCCCAGTCTTCTTTAAAGTCTCTATTTTCCTTATCTTTAAGTCTTTCAGTTAGCTTTGCCATTTCAGCATATTCCATCAGTTTTTCTTTCCATTGGTTAGTATTTCATCAGTTTTCCATCTTTGGGCTAGTAGAATCCAGCCGCTGTTGTGGCATACAAAAATAGTTTCTTCTTATCTTTTGAGTGTCGAGGTCCTCAAGCCACCCCCTAAATAAATAACAATTCACACAGAATTTTTGTTTAAGGTTTTTGGCATAATTTTGGCCACAACTTTATTAAAAGAGGGACAGAACTGACTTCCGGATTCTAGCAAAAGCCAGTAAGGGAAAACAATATTGGGGAGAGAACGGGGCTGGGCACCATACCATCACCACTCCCCTCATGCTCCAAGGGGCTTGCATAGCCCTAGCCCCTTGCCGGACATCGGACAAATGTATGGCAAACCCCTGGATTCCTTTAACGGAATTCCCTTGCAGCAGCAGCAGCATTGGAGGGGCAGGCACAGCCAATCCTTACCCCTCCACCAACCAAATTTTAACTAATGCGTAACCGCAACCTTACAAGTTGTGATGATTTGCTAGGTAAAAACCAAATGGCACCAGCCAACCAGCCAAATGGACAAAATTCCTACTAGGCCCCTGCCCCAAAAGCAGACGACCCCATGACAGGCATAGTAATGTCAAACGCAACAGCCCTAAATTAGGAAGGGTGGGCGGGTGATCCGATGCACGCAGCAAAAGAGACTGAAAAAAGCTGCGTGCCAAGAATATATAACCTTCGGGCCAATCCTCTAAATGGTAACATCAAAATCTCCCCAACAACCCAAATTGGTCCAATCACAGTCATGGTCACCCAAATGGTCCTGCCCAGTAACCAAGAGGGGGTGTCCTGTTAGACCCCACCGCAACACGTGCTCTCCATGAAGGAGAACACGCTTTGGCAAATCTTGATCTGAAATGCCTAGCAAAAAAGCTTCTGGTCTCTTAACAAAGGTTATCTTAAACAACCTTTTCAATTCATTATAAATCATTTCGCATAAAAATAATTTTAAAACATTTAACCCAGGGGTTATCAACCTGGTCCCTACCACCCACTAGTGGGTGTTTCAGGATTCTAGGTGGGTGGTAGCGTGTTCTACAGCACAAGTCCTTCCATCGAGCACTGGTGGGCAGTAAGGAAATTTTACCATCAAGAAAGATGCATTTGTGGGCGGTAGGTATAAAAAGGTTGACTACCCCTGATTTAAACAATGATAGAAGTAAAACTGTACACATATATTTAAACTATTAAAATTGTAACAATTGAGGAGGGCTTACATAAAAAGGACTTTACCGTAAAGTTGAACATCCAACTAGAGTATTGACAGCCATTAAGACTATTCTATAATTCCCGCTGGTGGAAGACCTCTTTGGGCATCTAAGAGACTAGATGGCATCAATGAATTTACCTCTGCACCTCATTCTGAATGTGTGATGCTGTAGGTACAGGTGTGAAGGCCTGGGACTGGGGGGAGAAAAAATAGGATGAGAAAGCTTTCCTCTCTCATTTTCCCCCACCCAAAGTCTTAAAGGTAAAGGGACCCCTGACCATTAGGTCCAGTCATGACCGACTCTGGGGTTGTGGTGCTCATCTCGCTTTCCTGGCCGAGGGAGCCGGCGTACAGCTTCCGGGTCATGTGGCCAGTATGACTAAGCCACTTCTGGCGAACCAGAGCAGCGCACGGAAACACCCTTTACCTTCCCGCCGGAGCGGTACCTATTTATCTACTTGCACTTTGACATGCTTTTGAACTGCTAAGTTGGCAGGAGCAGGGACCGAGCAACGGGAGCTCACCCCATCGCGGGGATCCGAACCGCCAACCTTCTGATCGGCAAGTCCTAGGCTCTGTGTGTTCTAGCGCCACCCGCGTCCCTCACCCAAAGTCTTAATTTCTCCCCAAATGGTTGAGAAAGTGCATCATGAAATATTTTCTTTGAGAAAGATGAATAAGATGAGTATAAGACGAGGTGTCCCAAAACGATTCTCATAAATTGGGAAGACTTTTCGGGACATTGGTGTGCAGAATCAGATTGTTCCAATTCCTGTACGCCGAGTACAAGCAAGTCCTGAAGATGACAATCCTCAAATGCAAGAGGGAGGTGCATTTTTAGGGGGTACTACCATCATCACAAGAGAAGGGAGAAGGAAGAAGAAGAAGAGTTTGGATTTGATATCCCACCTTTCACTCCCTTTAAGGAGTCTCAAAGCGGCTAACATTCTCCTTTCCCTTCCTCCCCCACAACAAACACTCTGTGAGGTGAGTGGGGCTGAGAGACTTCAAAGAAGTATGACTGGCCCAAGGTCACCCAGCAGCTGCATGTGGAGGAGCGGGGAATCGAACCCGGTTCCCCAGATTACAAGACTACCGCTCTTAACCACTACACCACACTGGCTCTCAATCGGTGCCTTTTTGCTTGTGGCCATTGTAGGTGGATATGTTTCTGTCTTCTTGAACAGGCCCCAAGAGACTGGGAGTGGAAGGAAGTATTGAGTAACACGAAGGAGCTGAAAAATATGCCTAAAGTCCATTTTAAACTTTCGAACATTACAGAGCACAGAACATAATCAGGAATGCAGTCTGGGATTCTGCCAAACATATTGTAACGTGGTGGCAAGTTCTTTGCACAACACAGCCTCTGATTCCTTCTGCTTCTCATCTACTTTAGGCTCTTCCATCTTCTGAAGCCTATAAAAGAAACTGGCCTATGTTTGGAAATGCTCAAATCAAGAAATGAACTGACGTGCGAAAAGGTAGAGAAGCTTTTTTCAATCCAGGTAAACCTTCAATTTTTAGAAGTCCATGGTAAATACGGTAGCAAATATGAAGAAACAGAAACTGATATTGATGTTCTGAGGCTGAGTCTTTCCCAGCACTTTTGAATGAAAATAGGTGCTTTGTGGTTGCTTAATGCTGAAGGAGAGATAATGATTTTCAAAATGCATATTAGTTTTCTTTGTTTTAGTATAATATTGATGGGTTCTTTTTTATTATTGTTTC